TTATTATTATTATGTATCTACATGATTTCATAAGACTAGCTTTATTCTGCAGGTATTTCAAAAAAGCCCTGTTTAAGAAGGAGAAAATGAGGGAATCCCCCACCTCAACAACAGGGGGATAAATGGATGGAGAAGGCGACACTGAGGAGGAATCCAAATCATAATCATCCACATCCATTACAGAAATACAGTACAGTGAGTCTCTACTGGAGGGTGCAGATGAATACTGATTCATGGCATCCACTGGACAAGAAGGAATTGCAGGCAAAGATCTTTGAGAGATCCAGATCTGGTCATAAGATTGAGTACTTAAGAGTGCAAATTCCATTGAGGTGTATCCTGTATCTTTTGAGGGAATGCCTTTGACTGTAGGCATTCCCTCAAAATATACCACCTTTACTGGCAACAGAACCAAATTCCAACGATCAGTAATACGTGCTACAAATGTACTTTTATTGGATATACATATTCATTTTATCATGTTGGTCTATGACCATGATAAATATTAATTAAATACTACAAATATATTATAACCACACTAAATTTTAACTCCAACTCCATACATAGCAGACACTCTATACACAAGTGTGCACCAAATAATTTGAAATATGAGAAGATATATGTGAGGGTTATTTATGACAGATGCTCATCATACTTTTTCCTTTTAAAGAACTGCATAGTTTTAATTAAGGAAGGGGTCCCCAGATCACGGTTTCTCAACCTTGGCAACTTTCAGATGGGTGGACTTCAACTCTCAGAATCCCCTAGCCTGCAAGGCTGGCTGGGGAATTCTGGGAGTTGAAGTCCACCCATCTGAAAGCTGCCAATGTTGTAAACCCCTGCCCCAGACAGAATAAAAAGATGGAGGAAGGTTAAAGGTAACTCCTGTACTATCACCCCTTAGGCAATAAACCACATCAGAAATACAGCCTCAACTATTCTTGCATCACTTCCAAGAGGTCTTAAAGCATTATTCATGAGGCCTCTGCTTGCATCTGCATCCAGTTACGCTAATTTCAATCGACCTTTCTCTCTACCACAGAACCACACTGAAGTATCACACGTGGGAGAGCATAAACTATGTGTAAATTCTTGCCATTTAATCCGATTGCTCATTTCCCAGCAGATTAAAAAGATTAAGCAGGCAGGGAGGCAGGCAATGGCCACACAGTGATATTGTTCCTGTGGAAGGAGTGGGGGAGAGATGTAGCCGCCTAGCCTTATCTGCTGAACAAAGCAGCCTCAGCCTTGCTCTTTCAAAAGTCCATTTACTTAAAAGATAATCATCTCAGCATCTCCCTTTACAACTCCTGCTTTATTTTACCTCCCCACAACACACCTAAAGGTTACATAAACAATATCAAAATAATAGATGATCAGAAATATGCTCTTTTCCCAAAACTCCTAGCAAGTAGCCAGCTGGGGACAGAACAGGGTTGAATTACAGTATATAACAATGTCCAGGCTTGGATGTTCCAACAGGGTGGGCAGAAATTCTTCAAAGGGGGAACATTTCAAAATTAGATTGCACACAAAGACCTTGCTCGCTTCAGTCTTGGAAAAACGGTCCCAGAAGAGATGTGAAACTCAAATGTATTGCTACTATTAGATCTTTTGCTCCATCAAGATTAAGGTCAGAATTTTCAATATTGGCTGCTCAGGTTAGCCTTTGAATTATATCCCCGATTTATTAATACTAAGTTTATGACTCAATTTTAATAAAGGCTGGCCATGTTAATGGCTGGTTTTATGAATGACAGTCCGTTACAGCTACAGCAAATATAATGAAGTTATCTTCATTCCAGATTGTGTTTCTCTTATTTCTATAATACAAAATATACTGAGCAAAACATCAACTTTTACAAGTCAGAATAAGAATATATATCTTGAAATAAGCTTCCTAAGAAGCTTATTTCAAGATCAAGAACTGGTATTAGCAGCTTATAAACTCTCAAAAGAAAAAACAACAACATTCATTTGGATTTCTCAAACCCTTAGCCATTCTCCCTTTAGATCCGAAGGAGGGTGTAAAATCTGCATTTTTTAGCTTAAACTGGAAAGAAGTGCTTTATCTCCTGTGAAATATAATGCCCTAGCAGTTGTCTCCAAGACTGACACTGGTACTGACTTGGCTCAAATTCCAGATATGGGAGTGTGGAATTAAAGAACCAATGGTTACAATGATTTATTAAGAATTAAAAATGCCCACAGGAACCATTTTGTTCAGGAATGCACAACAGCTACAGAAGATAGGTTCAAGATGTTTCCAAGTAACTTAAATCATATGCAGGTGTATGTACATTATATACAGTCAAAATAAATGAAACAAAAAGCTGGCTCAAGAAAAGAGATGGGGAAAAATAAAACATGCCATAATACTCTGCATACCTTGCTGTGGCACCTGTTGCTTTCCATGATAAGAAATCCGGAAGATCAAAGAAGTACCCTGCCTTTTCCCAGCAAGACTCTCGCAAATTCTGATAATTTTGGTTGGAGATAAAAAAGATAGTTTTAGCTCATGTAATTTTAAAACAAATTTAAATCATATGCAATAACCAAGACAAACATTGATGTTCCTTCCTTCCAACTTTTAAGTAGTCAACATACCCCTGAGTCATTCATATAGAATGATAGAATCATATGTAGGATTATTTGGGTTTTATTCATGCTTTGTCTTCCAACAAATGGTATTAACCAGCAAAGCCATAGTCTTCCCAAGGATGTTTTACATACTGCATTTGCAACCACCAAAGGATAATTACAAAGTCTCTGCCGCATGTATTACCATTTTTCTCTAAGTTTATATCTATGGATATATTTGTGTGTCCTTCCTATGTACTCTGAGAGCCCTGCATCCCATTCCCAAAGGAGCTGGATGTCAGGAATATATTTCAAGCCATAATTCTCTAAATAATGAGCAGGAAAAAATGCCAACTTATTAGTGAATCTCCCAGTGATATCTCAAAAAGGATATCTAATGTAGACTGCGTATCCTAGGGTAGGAACAAACCTCTTGGGGAATACCAAGACACTATATTATCTTCAAGGTAAAATAATATTAGGACATCTTATCACCATCCTAAACTACTGGATGACCTAATGGCTGAAAATTCCTGCATTTGTTTCAGAAAGAATATTTTCACTGAGAGAACCCGATAGTTCACTTCTCTACATTTAGCCTCACACACAACAATATTTGACCTATGATATTTTCCATATCTTGTTCTTCTAAAAAAAACAAAAACAATAGGTTTAATGTTGTTGGCTTAATACTTTATTTCATGAAGCCTCATAGTGCTACCATTGTAATTGCATCCATAATATATGTAGACATCATTATCCAACTATAATCCTTTAGATCCAACAGTTAGGTTAATCAATAGGAAAAGAAACAAGAGGCATATCCTGAATAGAAATGAAGTAAGAATTTCCAGGCAAGAGTGCTGAAAATGCTGTAAGAAGTTTATTCTTGTTCCCTTTTATGGAAGCCAGGACTAAGATGACCAGAAAGTGGTTTAGTGTCAATGAGGTCAGACTTCTGATGTATAAATCATGTAGACCTAAACAAATCCAACAATTCAGTAAAAGGAAAAATAAGTAGGCACTATTGCATCTTTCCAAAAGCCACAATAAAAAGATCCTAAAATGAGCGCTTTGAAACACTTCCAAATGATTCATTTTAGTCACCAAAGTGATTTGTCACCAGTGCTTAGTACAGAAAAACACATCAGGGTTTGCTATATGCTACCACACTAACAGTAAGCTTTACATATAATGACCTTAACACACGATTCACTATTTTATTTGCAGTACCCCACACAATTAATAAGTGTACTGAAAACCTGTAGGAATGCCCTAATGCAGTTTTCAGTGTAGTAATTCATATGATTTCTCATTCTGCATAACTCCGGATTTATCTGTTATTCACTGGAACTGAAGTACAGTTGGCCTCCTTTTCCCAGACATCTTTTTCTTCATGGGAGTCCACCTTCTAAACTTCTTTTTTTTTTAAGGGTAACTATTTTAAAAGCACTAATCAACTCCAAGTAGTTAAACAGCTGGAAATGCGATCACAATAGCCTACCGTACTGTTTTATCTACTCAGCAGATAATAACACTTTGACCAATGTCTTACAAGAAGGTGACAAGGCAAATCACTTCCATCTTTTCCAAGAAGTACACCTAGAACTATTCTGCAGCTAGAGAGCATTTAATTCTCTATGTTAAATATATATCACTTTTGCTGATCTAGGAGCTTTATGACAAATTTAACACAGAAGACTGGATTACAAGGAAAACCATGCACAAACACATCTGCTGGATTGTATCAGGGGAGACCCAGCTTGCAGCACACTTTTGTGCTTAAGTTGCAATGAGGAAACATACTAGAACTGTCACTAATAAGCCATTAGTTGAGCTACTCTGATTCCCTGGTATGTTGCTTTGAGGCCAATAGCCTTTACAAATCCCTGCTAAACTAATTTTAACTTTAACTTTTTACTCTTTCAAAGATGCCGCTATATAGATCTTGATGTTACCGTATTTATTTTCATGAATCTGCATATTTAAGAACTCTATGTAGACAGATGTGCAAATACGTACATATAACTGTGAATATAGCACTGCATCCAGCAATGCTGCAGTACAATTCTTTTAGCAAAATTGGTAGCTATGACCAGGGCTGTGGAGTTGGAATCAGAAGCAATTCTTGGGTTACTGGAGTCGGTAAAAATGTACCGACTCCGACTCCCAATAAATTTAAATTGTATATAACATAGACAATGTAATATGTTAAAATTTCCTATTTCATAGATAATAATTTGATTAACCTAATTTTTTCAGGATATATTTTAATTTTCATGCCTTGTATGTTGCATGCTTGCAGTCAATATAGGATATTTATAATTTATTTCCTATATTGATATATAATTAAAGGAGTCAGAGTTGGAGGTACCATGAATAAAAGAGTCAGAGTCGGAGTCAAAGGTTTCATGTACTGACTCCACTGCCCTGGCTATGACTAAAGCACAAGTAGCCACTTGTGTTGTGTTGTCCAATTGTTTTAACAACTGGATTTCTATGTTCTGGACCAGATACAGCTTCCAAATACTATTCAGAAACAGTGTTATGTAGAGCACATTTCAATCAATCAATCAATCAATCAGCTTTATTGATTAGTCTTGCAACCATATCAACCAGGAGGAGAAACAGTTATGTAGAGCACATTGCAGTAATGCATATGAATATACAAGATTAAGATTGCATTCATAACATTTATATACCTAATATAACTTATTCAAACCTCAATTCTCAGATAGTTTATCTAAGAGTATTTCTGCTTTGCTTGGATTCCATTTTGACTTGTCAGTCTATACCAAGTCTATTGCCATTTGCACACATGCAATACCAATCTCCAAAACCCCAAAGTATTTCTCCACCAGATTAACGATAATGTTACATAGGGACATAACAGATCAATTGCCAAGAAGTTGAACAAAACCCAACACAACCTTCTGAAACTAGCCAAAATTGCCAGATATATAGTACTGTGGCCCAGGTAATATCCCTATTAACTACATCTAAAAGATTACCATGTTTAATGGTAACTCTTACAATCACAGAACCATAGAATGTAAAGGTTGGAAGGCACTTTCAAGATCATCTGGCCGAGCCCTCTGTCCAATGTAGTGATCTACTACTATAGCAATTCCCAACAGATGGATATTCAGCCTTTGTTTAACCACTTTGGCAATGGAGATTCCAGCACCTCCTGAGGCAGTCTATTCCATTGCCAGATGCCTTAAACGGGGGCTGAACGGCCTCCTGTTTAAATCTGGAGGTATAGAAAAGCAAACACGGTAAAAAAGAATCTAATACCATAACTGAAAGGAATCAAGAATATCCATTTAATCCAGAAAAAACTAAAATTGCAAATCAAGCATCTTGCCCAAGCATGGAGTGTTAGAGACCAATATTCACAGAACATCTATTAGAATGTTCTATGAATGTTTCATCAGTAAAATGCATTGCAAACTGGTTAAATTAAGCTGTAATGTATTATCAAAGATAAAGAATTATAGGCTCGGTGTGCATTTTTTTCCTTTAGAACGATACAGAAATTAGAACTCATTTCCCTATCCTATTTAGTAGTGATTTCACTTCTACTTGGTTATTAACAAATCTACCAGCTTTGGACCACTCTCTGCAACATCTGATTATACTTGTATAGGTAAACTCTTTTTATTACAAGCTATAGAACAACAAATAACCTGAAAAATACACAGACGCACAATATATAGCCCTGAAGAAATTTTAAGGCATTGCATGGACATGTAAACAGAATGCAAGATTTCTTAGCTGTAACAAATCCAAGCCAGCTACCATTTCTTTCACCCTACTGCTTCCTGGAGAGAATTAATGAAATTTCATGAATAAAAAACAATATAAAATATTATTTAATAATATTTTAATATTATTAAATATAATTTAATAATTTGTAAGGTTCACACAGATTCTCGCTTAACAACATTTTCTGCTCTTAATCTAGTTACGGTAGTGTGACATAGTAGTAGGAATGAGACTTAAGAAATCCACCTTCAGCCCCTTACTGAGTTATGTAGCTCCGTTACATTAGGCCAATCACTTTCTCTCAGCCTTTCCTATTTCAGTGTTTAGGATAAAATAAAAAACTGGTGAATCATGATGCTGCCTTGAGCATCTAGAAGAATCAAAATCAAAATATAATAAAAAGATGAGCAAACATGGCAGCATGAGTGAATAACCCATTTACCTCAGACACATCTAAGGTTTTTCAAGTGTAGATGAAGTGGTGGATTTTTCTATTGCATGAGATACTTTCTCAATATTTTAAGTAATTTAAATTTAAATACTATTACTTTTATTTTACATGTTTTCTTAAATTGTTCTGGTTGTGGCTGAATGTAAAGGAAGTGATCTAAAATATATGAATAAATATCTAGAGGCTACAAATTATTTTAGATCTTGGGTTTCACTAACAAATTAAAACACTTTCTGAATATAATATAAAAATATTGCATTTGCCCTTTTCCCCCCATTTTCTCCTTTAAACAATGTCTATACGTTTTTTATATTTTTTCCTTATAAAATTTCCAAGAGGCATAACAGAACCATAGAAGAGAGTGGACTGGCTCTTCAGGACTCCTCTCCAGACAAGGAGAGGACTTGTGATCACCCACAAGTGCTCCAGACAGTTGCTCCTTGTGAGGAGACTATAAGACAGCAGTCTTCGGTGGGGTTAGAGCTCTGGGAAATGAGGGAATGTCATCTTTGTCCAAACTGCAGTCGGCACCTTTATGGACACAGGGTTCGCATACTTCCTTTTCTAGTCACTTCTGGAAATTGTTTATTAACTGCTTTTCAGCTATTAGGAATCTTTGGA